GCAATATTCTAGCGTGAATCTATCTCCTTTTATTAATCAAGTCAGTTAGAAATTTTTGTGATATTATTGAATAAAAATTTACTAGTAAGATAAAATTTTTGTATTATTGCATAAAGGTTTTTTGAATGAATCAGCTGTGAAAAATATTTTCTTTCAAGAAATTTCTATTATATGGATGCATTAAACTTACAATCTATGATCATGAATTTTACATTTTCTATCATTGGTTGGGTAAATTTTTTTGCATCTTCAAACTCAATTATTTTACAATTTAAAGGATGATTATGCTTATTTATAAATTTGTTGACAGTTACAAAGATATTAGGATTATTAACCTTTGAACAAGATGTATAATTAAAAAAGAACATTATATCTTTTTTGTACTAGTATTCTTATTTGATGTTAAATTATAAGTTCTTCTATAATTACAAATGAAGATTCTTTAGCGTAGTATTTCATTTTCTTTAATAACTTAATCTAAAGATAATTATCGCAATTAAAAAAAATGATGCAATTAAGTTGCAACTTATGGCACAATTAAATTTCCTTATGGCATAATTAAGTTGCAACTCAATTAAAATTTGAAAATAATTATAATAACCATCTTTAACTCAATCCTTTAATACAGTATATAAAAACCTTGTCTCTTAGCTTATTCAGTAATAAGATTTCATAAATCTTCTATAAAAAAAATTTTTTATTAGAAAACAAAGATGCTGATTCATCTTCAACATTAGGTAAATATTGTTCTTTATTCAAAAGTACTATTTCTTGTGTGTTATCACCTGTATCGACTATTATTTCTATATCAACAAATGATAAGTTAGGTTCTTTATCATTTATAATATTATTTATATTAAAAAATTATGCTAATGTAACATTATATTATTTTTCTAGGTAATTAAAATACATGTTAATAGTAAAGAAAAATGTGAAGAAATAAGAAAAAATAAATGAAAATGATAACAATGTAATCTGGATATACGAAAGAAAAGAAAGAAGTTTGCCATTAACATTA